GAAGAGGCCGCCAGCCTCGGGCCCGAAGTGCCTGTCATTCGTGGATGCGGCTCCAGAGAGCACATGTGTGTGAGACTTCCCAGCTCCAAAAATAAGCCCTGCGTTGCGAATGCCAGTAGGGGAAAGGGGCTGGGGCCTCCTCATGGCTCCTTCAATGTGACATGCAACATCTGGCCTTGATGTGTCCCTCCTGGGCGAGCAGCATGTCGTTGCAACATCCTCTGCTTAGGGTTAGATTCTGCCTCTGGACAGGGGGATCCCTTCCTGAACTGGGGGGCCCACCACAATAGGGGAAGGGGTGTGGTACCCCTGGCCATGGGAACACCTAGTTGTGGCACATGCGGTTCTGGTAGCACAGTCCCGGGGAGGGCTGGGGTGTTCTGGAAAGGTGGGGGCTCTGCAGGGGCGAGCGGGGTTGCATCACTCCTTTGCAGAGCATGCAGCGCGCCCAGTTTCTCCCCCGGGTGCTGATTCCAGGAACAGCTCATTGGAACGGCTCCTGGCTCCTCCTGACCAGAGAACTAGGCCCAAGGTTCTGGCTTGGCCCCGGAGCCCAGGGAGCCATCCTGGCCCCTCACATCCCAGCACAAGGAGGGGCCGGGTGCGTGGGACCAGCCTGGGCCCTCATACACAGCCTGGGGCGCTGGAGTCGGTCTACACCCCCCCCCACTAACACTGCCTCTCTCCCCTTGCAGATCATTCCCAACTTCTACCCCCCACTGGAGGCCCATGTCCGGCAAGGCGTCTTCAACTCCCTCACACACATCGTGGAGAAACGCGTCCTCGCGTAAGCAGACACTGGGTTCCAGATGTTCCCAGCCCCCATCCACAGCCCTGCCCAGGCTCCAGCTCCTCAGGGCCTAGCAAAGCCCCTTCCCCACCCCCACCTCTGGGCAGCAACCCACTGTTTCTTTACCTTGGGGGCTCTTGGTGCAGGCCAGCCCCAAGTGCCCCCCAGCAGCCTTCTGGCTGCCCTCTGTCTTCACAAAACCAAGCAGGAGGGTGTCCAGAAGTCGGGGCTACCTCCAGGCACCAGACCTCAGGGCATAGCAGGAAGGCCTTGGTCAGACAATCTTTGTTCTGCACCAAGGCTGATGCTTCTCTGGACACAGGTGCTGGGACTCTGCCCTCAGTGGAAGGAGGGGTCACTAGCGGATCTGGCCTGGCATGTGGGCAGAACAGGGAAAAGCACCTGCTCATGGTCTTGTCTCACCCCGTCTTAATCCCCGTCAGGCACCTGGCTCCCCTGTTTGACAACCCCAAGCTGGACAAGGAGCTCCGGGCTATGCTGAGGGAGAAGTTCCCCGAGTTCTGCAGCTCACCCTCGCCTCCCATCGAAGGTGGGTGTCAGCAGGGCACCCAGCGCTTTGGAGGCCATGGCTCCTGCTAGCTGCCCCTGGCTCCCTGAACGAGCCAAGAGCCAGGGGAAGAGGGCATCACGCCGGCTGAGGGACAGACCACAGAGCTCAGCCAAGCTGGAGGCTCTGTGTTTTTCACACCTGTGCGTCGCAGGCTCAATGTCCAGCCCAGATCTGGCTATGGAGCAGTCAGGGTACTAGCAGGAACCTGCTTCCCTCCTGCCCCTCAGCTGCTGCCAGCTGTCTGGCTCCGGGCGACGGGAAGAAGTGGCAGGATGCTGCTGGCCTGGAGTACATGGTGCCATGGGCTGGTGGAGCTCCAGGGCACTTCCAGGGCTGGTGATAGTTTGGCGTCTCCCCCTGCAGCCCTAGCCACGCTGGGCAAGATCGCTTGCTGTCATGGCACCTCCCCTAGTCGGTCTCCTGCTCCCCCTTTCCCCTGGAGAGGCCGCCCATGGAAATCTGCCCTGCTGTGGGGACCCCACACGTGCGCTGACTCCTTGGCCCGATTCTTGCAGTCAAAATCGAGGAGCCGGTTTCCATGGAAATGGACAATCACATGTCTGACAAGGATGACAGTTGCTATGACAACGCGGAGGCGGCCTTCAGCGATGACGAGGAGGACTTGAACAGCAAAGGTGAGGTGGCCGGCACAGCGCAGCCCCGCTCAGCCGGTGTCAGCTCGCTCCCCAGTGCCACTAAATTTACCCAGCAGGATTAGCTGCAGTCACGGACCCCCCAGGCTCTGTTCAGAAACCTCCCAAAAGAGCCAGGCAGAGGGAGCACGCTGGGAGCACAGTTCCCAGAATGCTGCATCTTCCCAGGCAGCTGCGGGGCCTGTGCAGCCCTGTCCTGCAAGGGGATGGCACTTGCCCAGAGCTCTGCAGCCACCAATGGTTGCCCCAGGACCTACTGCCATGGGGAGAGCAGCTTGGGCCACATCTCTCTGGATAGCTACTTCCAAGGTGGCCCTTTCTCAGCTGCAGGAGATTCCCATGCTGCCCCCCAGTCTGGCTCATGGGTCCACCTTGGTTTCCAACTCTCCTGGGACCCATAGATGACAAGCCTAGCTCACGTTCCCGGTTTAGCTGGGGGGTTCCCTGGCAGCAGCAGTACGGACTGGCTGGGCTCTGCACAGGCCATGTTCATGACATTTGGGCCTCATGCACTCAGTGAGCTCACAGTCAGGCACTATGAGAAGCTAGGTCTCAGCCCCCGAGACACCTGGCCTGTCTGCAGTTGGAATTTCTGCTTTCCGGAGCTGCAGACCCATGGGAGCCTCAGTGTGGTGACCCGTCCCTTCAGCTTCTGACATGCATCACGCTGTGAAGCAGCTGTGGGGGCTTCAAGTGCCCTGGCTGGGGGTCGTCTGGGCTGGGGAGGGACCTGAGAAGCAGCATTTGACTCGGGTGCTGGGCCCAGAGGAGTGACCAGGACCCCAAGGCCACATGCCTGGGAGGGCAGGAGGCTTGAGAATGGGGCCAGTCACCTTGAACAGACTTGTGCACACAGCTCCTGAAGGACCCATCTCTAGGATGCTGCAGCAATGGCAACAGGGAGAGGAGGCAAGGTCTGGGGCATGGTGGTGGGGTCCCGAGTCTTGAAACAAGAGGGTCCCTGGCCCAGCAGCTCTGCTCCAAGCCTCTTCCCCAATCGGAGGTCCAGGGTCTGTACAGAGCTCAGGGTCCATCTCCCAGGGCACCCGGTGCTTGCAGACCTATCACTCAGGCTGCCCAGCCGAGTCATCCGTTCCCCTCTCTCCAGGGAAGAAGCGGGAGTTCCGGTTCCACCCAATCAAAGAGACCATTGTCGAGGAGCCTGTCGACATCACGCCCTTCCTGGACCAGCTGGACGAGTCTTTGAAGGACAAAGTCGTGTTGCTTCAGAAGGGCAGGTGGGCATTGCTGAAGGACTCGCACTCCCACCTCTCCCCCCACCCCCCCCACTCGTTCACCAGGTGCTTGGGGTGCAGCTGCCCACCCCAGATCCCCAGCACTGGAAACTGGCTCAGAAATGCTCATGGACAGATCTGACTGCGAGGTGCCCAGGCAGACTGTCTCCTGCCACCAGTCTGCCCCTGGCCCCTCACAGATGGATGCCTTTGGGGGTCTCTGTCCCTGAAACAAGTGCTGGCAAGGGGGCAGTGCTCCGTGTCATCCTGCCCACAGCCTGCTCCTCCCACCCTCCTTGGAGCAGCCCAGCCTTTGCAGCTGCACCCAAGCCTTAGTAACTGGTGGGAACCAGGCTACACCAGCCCAGTGGTCTTCTCCTAATGGCAGCACCTGCCTGAGAGGAGCTGGTTGGTCCCCCTTCCTGTGCTTTAGACACCTTGGGCTGAAGGGGTGCCGCATGCCCCTGGAGCTCTCCATAGTCTTCTCTTCTATCCTTGACCTTGGACTCCCCCTGCCCCATAGCACCGCAGGCTACAGCAATCAATGCCCATGTAGCTCTCCATGCATTTCATCTCCCGCTTGAGTCACTTAATTAGTTTGCTGTGCGTGCGTGCCCGGGACAGCGAGCACCAGGTGCTGCATCAGCCCAGTGCATGTTCGGGCCTCTCCTTCCCGTAAGCACTGCCTCATCCGTGCCCCCCACCAGCTCTCAAGCCCTCTGCACTCCCAGGCCAAGCCAGCTCAGCACAAAGTGCTATTGTCCCCGCGCTCAGTATCTCCCTGCATAACTTGGATTTCCTCTTGTTGTTGTGCTCCAGCGACACGGAAGCCCAGTGTGAGGTCATGCAGGAAATCGTGGATCAAGTCCTGGAGGTAATGACTGGGACCCGGAAGCCATGTTCCCACCCAGCGCGGGACCCCAGCGCGGCTGTGCCAGCCTGCTTGGGAGGGGGCCTGAGCAGAGACCAGCCTGTACTGGGCCAGAACCAGGGCTACATTCACGGGCTCCATTAAAACCCTGTCACTGGGTGAGGGGGAACTGGGAGCCAGAGGCTTGGCAGAGCCCAAAATGCTGCAGCCCCAGGTGTCTGCTAAGTGCCTGTCTCGCTGGCAACCAGCTATGACAGCAGCTCTCTTCACTGTGCTATAGCAACAGGGCGATTACCGAGGGGGTAGAGAGGGGCTCTTCTCTGGAGCCGTCAGGCACAGGCCTAGGAGCCGTGGCCTCAAGCTGCAACAGGGGAAACAGGTTGGAGACGAGGTAGAACTTCCTGCCCCTGGGGACAGTCAGGCATTGGAACAGGCTGCCCCGAGCAGTAGGGGAAGTTTCCAAGAACAGGTGGATAGACACATGGCTGAGATGGTTTAGTTGAGGATGATCCTGTCTTGAGCAGGGGGTGGACTAGATGTGGCCTTGTGGGGTCCCATCCAGCTCTGCTTGCCTGTGAACAGAGTGAGCCCAGGTCCCACCCATACGGTGCCATGTTCTGGGCTCAGCACAACCCGCTCAAATCCAGGTCGGGTGGCAAAACAACTTCCCCTTCTCATTCTTTCTCCGCCAGGAGGACTTTGACTCGGAGCAGCTCTCAGTGCTGGCCTCCTGCTTGCAGGAGCTCTTCAAGGCACACTTCCGTGGGGAGGTTTTGCCAGAGGAAATCACAGAAGAGTAAGGAGGGCTCTCCTCTCCCTCTCATTCCTCCATGCCGGGAGTCGGGTTTCCACCATTTCCAGCACCCTGGCACGTGGGAAGCTTACGTAGTCTGGCCCAGGGAAGCCGCGGAGCAGTAGGGACTGACATCCTGCTGAGGCAGGCAGCTGGAGGATGCAGCCTCCAGTGAAACCATCCATTCCCCCCCACTTCTTAGCATGTGGGAAGTGAGAGCAGGGGCACTCATTGCCTAGGGAGCTCCTGGGGGCTCCCATGTCCAAGTGCCCTGCTTGGCACCTGCGTTTTGGCCCCCAGGGCAGTGTCCAGCCTTGGTGGACGGAGGAGGTGGGGCAGACACTTGCTGGGAATGCTGAGGGTCTGTTCCACAGGGCTGGGCCCCAGGGACTGCTGACCATGAGCAGCACGTGCTGGGGCCTGTCTGACCTGGTGCTTTCCCCGCAGGTCTCTGGAGGAGTCGGTCGGGAAGCCGCTTTACCTAATATTTAGGTACGTGGGTGAGAGCTTGGACCCACGCTGATGGGATGGAAGGGAGGAGTGCTTTGGGTGCCCCCACATGCTCACTGCAGGCTGCCTCAGCTCCATCCTGGTCACTCTGCTTTCTCTGCTGCCATGTGGCCTCAGCTGAGCATGCCACACACCAGGGGCTACCTGCAAGGGTGCCCCAGGTCAGGGGCACCAGAGCCAAGCCCTCAGCTCTGTCCCCACGAGCCTCTGTGACAGCTGGGTCCTGAGAATGCCTTGCAGGGGATTACCTGGAGCCCATCGCCTGCCCTGTGACTCTGCATAGCCCCAGCCCATGGATTCCTGGCTCCTGAGGCTGCTTGCTTCTGGGGGCTCCAGGAGGGGACATCAGACTAGCCAGAGATGCCCTGAGTTCCTTGTATCCGCTGGGCCCCTTTCTCCTGGGTGCACAGGACACTTGTCTGAGCCCATGTACTAGGCACTGGCCTGTCTGAGATCCATGGTGGCATTCTCTCCTATCTCCCCCTTCCCCAATGCCCTTCAAGGAATCTCTGCCAGATGCAGGAAGACAACAGCGGCTTCTCCCTACTGCTAGATCTCCTGTCCGAGCTCTACCAGAAGCAGCCCAAGATCGGCTACCATCTCCTCTACTACCTGAAAGCCAGGTAGGCCTATGCGGGCAGCGGGGCCAGGCACTGGGGGCAGTCAGGCTGCAGCTGGGACTTGGTCAGAACAGGACATGTGGGTGTTAACACCGCCCATTGAGCGTGGGCTGGGGCAAGTGTTCGGTGCCCTGGCACTGGCTGGCACGGTGCCTGTTAGCCAGCGCTCACACCAGCCCCTGCCCCTTGCAGCAAAGCAGCTGCTGGAAAGATGAACCTGTACGAGTCCTTTGCCCAGGCCACGCAGCTGGGGGACCTTCACACGTGCCTCATGATGGACATGAAAGCCTGCCAGGAAGATGACGTGCGGCTGTTGTGCTACCTTACCCCCTCCATATACACAGAGGTAAGAGCCTGGCCTGCTCTATTTGGTTGCCTAGGACTGGGGTCTCTGCCTGGGAGCACAGGCCCCACTGGCCCCAGTCCTGGCCCCTGGGACGTTCCTCAGCCGCCACCTCAACTTCCTTTCTGTTACTGCCAAAGCGAGAACATGTTAAGTCCTAAGTCAAAAGCCCTGTGCAGTGCGAAGCTGGCTGTCCAAGGCTCGGAGAGGGCTGTGCTCACTAGCTGCTGTGTCCCGGGGGCCAGAGAAAGCAGCAAGGGAGGGGGCCTGCAAGGGAGCCCTTGGGTTAATGAACATCTCGTGGCCTCCATCTGGAAGCAGCCCGCCTGCCTGCTGGGCCCCATGTGGTGCCCGATCGCAGAGCATGCTCCGAGGGGAGGGGGGACGGCCCCAGCCCACGGCTGCACCATAGGGCTCAGGGATTAGGGCTCCCGCGATTCAACATGGTCTTGGGTGGAGCTGCTGTTCCCTCTCCCTTGCCAGGATGTTAACGGGCTAAACTCTCGCCTCCAGCCCCTCACAGACTCGTTCCAGCCAGGCCCTGGTGGGGTGGTGTGGGCTGCAGTCCAGTGGCCGTCCCAATCTGCCAGCTTCATGCCCTCCAAAAGCCTGCAAGGGTTGTGGCATTGTGCAGCGCAGAGCGGGCTCCCCCTGGCCTTCTCCCCATACACTAGCTGAGGGGAGCAGCCACAGATCCCATGAGTGCTGCCTGCAGCCAGCTGTGGCAGCAGTGAGCACAGCAGGAGACGCAGCATTTCAGGTCGGCCTCGGACAGTGGCTCCTGGCTGAGAGCAGTGGTCAGCTCTGGCCCGGGTCCCTTGCATGGTGTTGCTATTCCCACTGCCACGGGCAGGCCAGGCCAAAGCCTGGGGGCCAGGTTCTAGGGGCTGCCATGCTTTCAGCCAGCACTGCCTGTGTATCATGCCCCTGCCCCACCTCTCTGTCCTGTTCCCTGCAGCTTCCTGCAACCATATGCAGCCCAGGAGCTTTCAGCCAAGTTTGCAGCTATGGGGGAAGTGTGGGCTTGGCTCCAGGGGTGCCTGGCCCAGCTGACTTCCACCCTGTGAAACAGCCCCCTTTCCACTGCTGCTATGTCCACAACACCAGAATCAATGGGGGCCATGTTGCAGGAGGCCCCTTGGCACTGGGCAGGGTTCCCAGCACCACAGCCATGCTTTCGCCAGCTCCAGCCTTGCGAAGAATGAGCAGGTTTGCTCAGGGCTGGGTAGGCTGCAAGGGAGGGCCATTGCAGAGCTGACCACAGCATGCACACAGTGTGGCAGCAGCATCTTGCTGGATGTTGTTGGAGAACTCATGTGGCCTCGGACACAAACCAACAGGGCCAGCTCCGCTCTCCTGGCCATCCCCTCCTGAGCCTCACTCTGCGCTTGGACTCTTCCAGTTCCCAGATGAGACCCTGCGGAGCGGGGAGCTGCTGAACATGATTGTGGCTGTCATCGACTCGGCCCAGGTGAGCGGGCAGCTCGGCCTCCCCGGCAGGGTGAGCAGGGCACAGAGCCCTGGCGAGACCCTCCTGGCAGGGGCTGCACTGCTAAGTTGCCATGACGCCAGCCAGAAGGACCCAAAAATAGCCAGCGGGAATGTGGCAGGTGCTCAGAGCCAGGCGCCACACTCTGCTCTGTCTGGGCACGATGGGCTGATAACCCCTCACTCGCCCTGTTTACCCAGCCTGGGTTGGAAGCAGTCCCAGGCGTGCATGCTCCCAGCTGGCCTCTCCTTTCCTAGTGTCTTTCTGGGATCGGGGTTGTGTCCAAGTTGCAGGGGGGGCCCTGACAGGCTCCCCTCACCTCCACACCGCTCAGTCACCACCCACAGGGCACAGGCTCGGGCTGTTCCTGGTACAGCGTTTCCTCTCCCCTCTGTCATCCACTCTGTCCATCTCGTCCTCTCATTCTTCCCTGCTGGCTTCATCTTTTTCCCTGCCGTGTTCTGGCCATGAAGCCAGTGGTTCCCCCTCCCCACAGGGTGCAAAGGAGGTCTGGCCTCTCCCCAGCTGGCAGCTTGTGCACCACTCTGAGCCAGCCCCTGGAAACAGCCACAGGGCAGCATGTGCCTCCATCCCCCCACTCCACCCTTCCCAGAGCCCGGGGCAGGGGCTAATTCACAGCTGGACGTCCCTGCTCCTAGGCTTGTGCCTTGCTTGTGACTTCCGTGCTAACCGAAGCACTCTGGTCCCGGCTGGGTGCCTGGCCTGGCAGCCTGCACTCTCCAGATGGGCAGCCACGATCCAGATGCCATGTGGTCACTCCCTCCATGGCTGGGCGGCACCCTGGCCAGGCCGTGTGCTGTGCACTGCTCTCCCATCCCTGCCGGCCTCGTGTTGATGTGTGAAGCTGTTAAGCTCTGTATCTGCTCGCCTCTGACAGCTGCATCACCCCCAGCTCCAGCTGCTCTGATTTACAAGCCACCTGCAGCTGGCTGGAGGGAGGAGGTGCAGCTTCCCACAGGCTCCTGCTTTTACATGGGGCCCTGCTCACGGGGTGGGCAGTACTTGGCATGCCAGGCCTCTGTCTGAGCTGTTTGCCTGGCAGGCTGGGAACCCTGGGGCATGGAGCCACTCCCCCCTGCTCACCCATGGCACTCTGCCTTCCAGCTGCAGGAGCTGGTGTGCCACGTGATGATGGGTAACCTGGTGATGTTCCGGAAGGATTCGGTGCTCAACATCCTGAGTAAGTAACGCCGTGTGCCGCAGGGGAGGGGCAGCGCCAGCCATGTCCAGCAGCCCCCAGGCACCAACTGCAGGCTGCAGGTCCCAGCTGAACCCAAAGGCACGATGGGAATGGGGCTTTCTGTGCCCTGAAGCCACGTGGGTGCTAGTATAGGCTGGGGGAACCACAAGGACTGCCCAGGGGCTGGCCCCGGTCTCTACCTGGCACTGGGGGCTGGGCTTCATATCATCTACCTTGGTCTGGGGCTGACTGTCCCTTCCCTGCTGCAGAGGCAGGATGCTCTGGCCCCACTATAACAAAGGTTTAATTGCCTTTGACTGACAATTAACCCTCAAGCCACCAGCCTCATGCTCCTAAGGTCTATGCCTGGTAGAGCTGGCAGGCAGCACGTGTACGGAATTGGCCACCATTCCCCGGGCACGAGAAAGGGCCTGGGTTTGGGGGTACAGCTTCACAGTCCGTGCTTGTTGGTGCACACTGCCAGGCCGGGCTTGGCCCTCTGAGACGGCATGGGGGGCTGGGCATGGAGAGGTTAACAGGCTTGTGGCTCCTAGTCCTGGGTCGGATGCTGTGGGGGTAGGGCTGCGCCACACAGCCAGCTCTGAGCAGTATGCCAGCCCAGGGATTAACAAACCTCATTAATGCCCTTCCCCTGAGCCCTTGCAGCTGCCCACACCCACACCAGCAATGGGGCTCTGGTGCCACCTGTCAGCTGCCAGAATCCTGTCTCTTCTGCCAAGGCACGGTGCTGGCAGCTGTACAGAAACCAGCCCACCACAGCGGAGAGGCGTCCCCACTCCCTACTTTGCTCAGGCATCCCCAACAGCCCCACACTGCCCCTGAGAGGCTACAAGTGGTAGGGGACAGCTGCCAGGCCCGGCAGAGGGCACCAGGCTCGGCCCCATGCCCCTCTGCTCCATAAGCAGCTGCTGGCAGAGCTGGGGCAGCACGCCAGGCTGGAGGCAGCGCCTGGTGCAGGAAGACAGCTGGCTGGAGCTGGGCATGGGCTTAGGGCCACCTGCAAAGGCCTTGCTTCCTCTTTGGCAGCTGGAGATGGGCAGGAAGCCCAGGACTGGGTTGTGGGCAGGATTGAGGGACCTCAGCAGCACAGGAGAAGGAGGCAGGGGCCTGGGGCTGGGCTGGCAGGACCCTGTGGGGTAGAAGTGGGGAGCATGGGGGAGACCTGGGGCCTGCAGGGTAGGAGCGGGCAGATCAGTAGCTTGCCCAACTCTTCCCCCCCCCACCCCCACTGGCCCATCATCTGCCCAGCTTCTAGGCAGGGCTAATAGAAGGAAGTACCTGGCATTTCCCCCCCAGCCTGGCAAGGTCAGGCACCCCTGATGGGCCCTTTGCTCCCCTCTAGTTCAGAGCCTGGACTGGGAGACGTTTGAGCAGTACTGCACCTGGCAGCTCTTCCTGGCACACAGCATCCCCCTGGAGACCATCATCCCTATCCTGCAGCACCTTAAGTACAAAGGTGAGCCATCTCAGGGGCAGCCTCTGGCCTGGGTGTGGGCAAGCCTCCATGCGGGAGCAGGCCGGATGGGGACTGGGTGGGGATCAACTGGTGACCCCGCTTTCCTTTGCAGAGCACCCTGAGGCGCTGTCTTGTTTGCTGCTGCAACTGAGGCGAGAGAAGTAGGTGCCCGGGACCACGCAGGGTGGGGGGATCTGGGGGGCTCTGGCAGCTGAGCCACCATGACCACCGCTCCTCCAGCTTGTTAATCGGGCTTTGAGCGGTGACATGGCTGGTGCCATTTGTGTCCCAGCAGCACACAACTCCACGTAGATGCCATCAGCAAACAAGGTGCCGCCTGCACTGGGCCTGCCAGTCGGCACAAGGCAAACGTCCCAGGCTGTGTGGTCACGGCTGGGCGTGTGGGTGCTGGCAGGTCGGGATTGGACTCTGTGCAGCTCCACCATTCCCACGCCCTCCCCTGGGGCCAAGGCTGCGTGGCTGGATGGCTTCGTGTGCGCAGGCCTGGGTGGGGCCAAGGGCAGTGCAGACCCCTGGGCCTGGGGTCTCTAGGCAGCCTCATGGGCAGGATGGGGGACAGGGGCTCAGTCCTGGCCCACTACAGCCTCTCCTTCACCCCCCTGCCCCTCCTGCAGACCCAGTGAGGAGATGGTGAAGATGGTGCTGAGCCGGCCCTGCCACCCTGACGACCAGTTCACCACCAGCATCCTGCGGCACTGGTGCATCAAACACGATGACCTGCTGGCCGAGCACATCAAGTCCCTGCTCATCAAGAACAACAGCCTCCCGCGCAAACGCCAGAGGTGGGGGCAGGCAGGGGGGCAGGAGAGCTGGCAGTGGACTGGTCCCAAGCCTCTCCTCCCACTCTGGCTCCGGGTCAGAGGAATGTGCTGGTGTCGGGAGGGAGCTGCCCATCACCAGCCAAAAACTGTGGAACAGACCCCACCCCCCGGCACAGCCAAGGGGATGCTGAGTGGGGCACAGGCACGTTAGGGTCCCTTGTGCTTTGGCCACATCCATGGGGTGGGGCCTCAGCATCCTGGATCACAGCACCCCCCTCTGCCCAGGCCCAAGGGCTGATCACCTCCCCTCAGGTGCAGCCAGACCAGGGTGAGCCCTCAGCAGGGGCTCAGCACCCGCCTTGCCCCCGAGCCCTGCTACCTCCCGCAGCCGATAAATAGCAATAAATAATGGATCCCAGGCAGCATGTGCCATAAACAGAGTACCCCCTTCCCCGGTGGCACGTGGGGACCCTTGTCCCATTCCTGGCTGCGTTGCCCCAGGGCTCCCTTCCCTGGGGTGCCTGGAAAGGGGTCCAGCCAGCACCAGGCATGGGAGCAGGACCCAGTGCTGCTGGGACACTCGACTGAGGCAAATCCCCAGCTTCACTGGAGCCTGTGGCCTGGGCAGTCTGAGGCCTGTGCCCCCATCCACTATGTCAGCCCTGGTGTAAGCCCCTTCCCCACATGGCTCTGCAGGACACAGGCAGCCCATGACATGCTAGGTTTCCTGGAGCACAGGGGCCATCTAGCGTCCAAGGGAAGCCTGGCAGCCCCGAGCTGTGTTCCATCTCTCGGCACGAGGAGGGGTTGTTGGCCAAGCCCTGGCACGTTGCTGGCGGCGCCTGGGCCTGGCCAGGACCCCGCTGTGCTGGGCACCGGGCCAAGGCCACCCCCTCCTCCTCCTCTACGTCATCTCATTGCCGGCTCTTCTGCGCTCCGGCACGTGTCCAAAGCTAATCCCCACTAATGAGCATGCGGCTGCCAGAGTCCTGCTGGGCTGGTGGAAGGGCTCCCTGCGGGGATGTGGCCCTGGCCCTGGGCACTGATGCGGCGCCTTCTCTGTCCCAGCTTGCGCAGCTCCAGCAGCAAACTGGCCCAGCTGACCCTGGAGCAGATCCTGGAGCACCTGGACAACCTCCGGCTCAACCTGACCAACACCAAGCAGAACTGTGTGTACCGGGGGCCCGTGCAGAGCCCGAGCTCAGGGAGGGGATGCCTGGGGAGGGGGTAGGTTTGGGTATGCTGCTGTGCTTGGAGCACTGAGGCTGGAGCGTGGTCTGTGGGACCAGGGCTGCATCTCAGCCCAGCTGTAGCACCAGGATGGTTGGGCCTCGCACTCGGGATCAGGGCCTCTCCACCTATCCACCGGTGAACTGCACCAGCCCGGAGCTGAGAGAGACCCAAGGGCCCACAGGCTGGAGCTCCCCCTCCCTGTCCCCCAGTGCCTCCTCTCCCTGCCCCCAGCACCAGTGTGTTGGGACTTGGCCCCTGTGGGTCCTCAGGGCACCTCAGCAGCCTGCTTCTGCCAGACAGGAGAACGCTGAGGCCAGGGGGAAGGGAATGAGCAGGTGCTAGAGCTGGGGTGGGAGAAGTTTCTGACTGGCCCAGCATGTAGGGGTGGCTCGGGGCGGCTTGAGCAGCGCTGGCGGGTGCCAGGCTCTGACCAGCATCTCTGCTCCCGGCAGTTTTCAGCCAGACGCCTATCCTGCAGGCGCTGCAGCATGTCCAGGCCAGCTGTGATGAGGCCCACAAGATGAAGTGAGTGCACTGCGCTGCCTACCAACGGGTTTCTGCCTTGGCCCCCTGCCCTCGGCGTAGGAGGAGGCTGGGGACTGTGCACAGGTGGCTGCAGTCCCTGGCAGGCAGCTCCTGCCGCTTCATGCTGTGACACTAGAGGGCAGCAGGCAGGAGCCTGAGGAAGACCCTTGGCTGAGGGGGTTTAGGGTCTCCCTGCCCCATGGCAGGGGGCTCCAGTAGCCCCTCAGTCGCATCTGATCCAGCCCCCAGCTCTGTTTACCTGCTGCTGACGCCCTGTGTGGTGCCGACTGACTCAGCAGGGTCCCAGGGGAGCAGGGTGCTCAGCCCCTAGTGCTGTTGCTCACCCAGACTCTGTCCTGACAGGTTCAGTGACCTCTTCTCCCTGGCGGAGGAATACGAGGACTCTTCTAGCAAACCACCCAAGAGCCGCCGGAAAGCCACCCTGTCCAGCCCGCGCAGCCGCAAGAATGCAGCGCAGCCCGCCAACAACGAGGAGGAATCGGCCTCCAGCAGTGCCTCGGTGAGAGCGGCCCCCTCGCGCCCCCGCCCCACACTCGATCGGGGCAGGCACCGGGAGCGCGGAGCCACCAGCTGGGACCGTTGGGCCCCATGGCGCCCAGGGAGACGGGCTGCACCACGCCGTCAGGGCTGGGGTACACCCCGTGGGGGTCCCTGGCCACCCAAGTGGTGAGGGAGGGGGCTGCCTTGCTTGGCTCTGAGCACATGGGCTGGCGGGACGGCCTGGTTGGCCCTACGCTGATGCCCTCCCACTCCCCGTGGCAGGAGGAAGAGGACACCAAGCCCAAACCTACCAAACGGAAACGGAAAGGCTCGTCGGCCGTTGGCTCGGGCAGTGACTCAGGCTCCCACGGCCCTGTGCTGGCAGCAGCCCGCCAAGGGCCTGGAGCGGCCCAAGCCACGGCCTGGAAGGCAGCACTGGCAGCTCGTGTCTCCGCGCCACTCCATGCTGCGCTGGGAGGGCACCCGCCCGCTGCCACTTTTAACCCTTTTTAACTGCGGAGCTGGGGTAGGGGCTGGCACCACTGCCGCTCTCCGGGCACGGGGCCGTTCCCCATCTGCCTCCAGCTCCAGCCCCAGGGGCCCTGCCGGGCCCCGCAGCCGCGGCAGGCATGGGCAGGGGCCCCGGCCCTATCAGATGCCCCCTATTTTCATACGAAGACTGTAAATAAATGCTGAGAACCGCCTGTCCTGCCGTCCCGTGCCCGCCTGCAACTGCCCCCTATGCGACCAGCGCCGTGGGCCCCAGCACTGGGTCTGAAGAGCCTGGCATCCACCCTGGGGCATTTTTAAGTGTTTTTAAGAGACTAGTAATAACCATGTCCCCTTTTGGTACCTGCGGGGGGAGGCTGCCGGTCCTGTGGGGGCCCCCCACCCCACACACACACACACACACACACACACACCCACAAATGGGCTCACAAGTCCTGGGACCCCCCAGGCCTTTGGGCCCCTCTCCCTCTGCTGCTGCTGCTGCACCCCTCCATGCCCTGCTGGGGGGCCGGGCGCCCCCTTGCCAGGGGGACCCAT